ATCGGACCACTCACGTTATCCGCCGCACATTTCGGAAATCAGACCATGGCCTACATCTGCATATTATTATTATTATTATTATTAAAATTCATGATCCGTCCAGGTGTGATAATCGTACAAGTGGATTCGATTGAACATTGTTGTTAATCGAATAAAATATCGAATAAATCACTTCGTTGCAACCGCTGCGGGTTGTATCATTTTTCGACTCGTAGTCATAAACATACATTAGAACGTGTTCGGTTTTTCGCGTTACTGTTTAGTCAATGAACTAATAATAATCAAACATTTAGACTGTTATTCATACAAAAAAACCATTTCATTAGAAATACAAATTTAGTATTCTAAATAAGGGAGTGGGTGTGTGTGATGAAGCTTAAGAGCTCTTAATATTTTAAAGTTGAATAGATTTAAATAAAATCGTAAATAGATACAATTTTTCTTTTCTTTTCATTAGTAGGTACTCGTGAGGTGCTCGTCACTTCAAAAAAATATCAAACTTTCTTAAATTAACTATAACACACGAGCATATTATATTATTTATTTACATACATTCCCATTCGTATTTACATATAATGGCCGTTGTAATCGTTTTCGAACGCCATGAACCATTCATCGTTGGTTTCGAATGTGAACAGATAATGAGGTGATTAATACTACACAACAGATTGACACACACAATTTTACGGGATATTATTATTTTTGTTAGTCAACCGAAACTGTAAACCAGGGATCATCAAACATTTTTCACTCGAGGGTCACATGAAATATCATAAGCTCTTAGCGAATCAAAATTTATGAACACAAGTCATTTTTAATTTTATAGCAATATATATACTTATAATTATTTTAAAAAAAAATGTTGACACTACATGTGTTTTTGATATTATTCACTATCTTTGGGGGGGGGGGGGGGGATAAAACTTGTTCGTGGGCCATAGTGTGGAGACCTGTACTGTAGACCACCAGACTGTCATAAAATATTCGGTATTCGAGTTTTTCAAAATACGATTGCGAAACGTTATAATGCGCATACAAAATCGAAAATAATTTTATAAAACCAAGCAATCTTTTAGAATTAATCGTATTTCATTTGAATAGAGGTCACGTGGTTACACAATGTTTTTTGAAGACGATACTTTTGATGTTTTGTTTAAAACTATTAGTTACGTAATTTCCATTATTAATTTCGCGGTACATGTTACAACTTATACATATATTTTATGTGTGTGTGTTTATGTATACATTAAACATACTTAACGTCGTATATAAAAACACAAATATCATAATATGATAATCATTATATTTAAACTAGTGCACGGTCAGTAACATTGACATTTTCAAACCATTTATATATGTATTACAGTAGCACGACCTGAGTAGAATGCAATTTATAAACAAATTATATTGGTTCACACTTTATTTGCCATTTTTCTATTTTTTATTTGTGTACTCCATATTTTTTCGAAAATAAATTCATAGAAACCTTTTCTTTATTGTTCCGATGGTAAATATATACCACTCATAAAGGTTCTAGTAATTGCCCATATATTTATAACGAATAATATTAAATACATTTTGAAACCGTAAGTACGTCTATAGAAAACACGTAAATTAAATAGTGTAACGGTGGTGGATGAATTATACACTATACTCGTATATTTACCAACTTTTTATTGCTCATTATCACTATATATTATGTTGTATATTGAATTGTATAAACCTGTAACTATTGAGCTGTCATAGTTATTAACTAAAGGCTATTAAATAAAAAATATACAAAAAAAAAGTAATGGATATAAATAAATAAGTTATTTTTATGAATTAAAATCGACAATAAACATATTTTATTGTGTATAAGTTACAATAAAAGGGGGGTTGTCGATTTTTTAAAAAAAAATTTTGAATTATTTGGAGAGCATTACAGCTCCATGGTTTTGTGATCTAAAGTAAAACCATTGTTTTGAAAATGACCATTTAAATTTTACAATCCAACCAACAGTTGATTGTTTACAAATGCATTTAAAATTTAACGAGTGAAGTTGGAACTGGAATGGCACCTCTCGGCTCATTTCAGGTATTTATAAATAATTAATTGCTGCATCAATATTCACTTTTATACATTAAATGTTTTAAAAAATTGAGGTTTTACAGGTAGTTTATTTACAAATAAATGCCGAAAAAATAAAAAAAAATAAAGTAAAACATAAAACTGATTTTGGTAATTTTGTAAGTTCCCACATGAGATATAACCGGTAAAAATCATCCTTGGGTATGTCTACGTAGACTCCTACATGAAAAAAAACCATAACGGCACGTAAGTTTCTATTCGAATAAAAATTATGGCAAATAAAAATTCTCTACCCACTCTATTTGGACTTAGGGCTGACAACGAAGTTGGGACGATTAAAATTTGTTTATTTTGTGTTTTGTAAAAAATCTAATCCAAATTTTAATCGAATCTTATCTATATATAGTAATATATAGTCATCCATACACTCGTATTATACCTTATATGATAATAACGTATATAATTTTAATAACAATAATATTATAAATTAAGTTTTATGTGGTCGATTACAAAAGGTCAAACTTTTAACATAATCATACTATGTTATTTGTTTTTAGTTGAATTTATTATTTTGTTCTTTACATATTATCGTTTATTTTGCTTATTTTTCGAATTCTATTGTATCTGATATTTTTATTTTAATATATGTATTTATTTGAAATATCTTTAAGACATCAATTATTTTGAATATATTAAAACGACGACGATAAACATTTGAATTGAACTTGGATTGAAAACTTTCACAATCATTTACAGTAAGACTTCTACAAGTCTTAGCACTAACCCAAATACTATATGGTAAAGTACTTTTTTTTTCTATATAATTTGTCACTGAATAATCCGAAGATCATTTATTTTATTATTATTTGGTTTTTAGTCACGAAATATATACTTTTCTTCGTGTAGGAACTTACATATGTAAAAGTTGAATTCTTAGGCTTCGTGTGGGAACATACCTTCCCCCATAAAAACGCAGTATTTTGTATTTCTCTCAAGGGTATCTTAAGAACACTTAAGACACGCTTGAGCTGAGCCTGTGGTTTCTTAACAAGTTCAAATGGCGTATGTAATTCTCTAACGACCTGCGTTCCGGAAAATCGTTGGAAATATAACTACTTATAATAAGTGTTTTGATTTAAATTATTTAAATGTGCAAATAAAAATGTAAATAATAATTAATAAGTATTAAACATTTACTATTTTTTGTTTTATTTTATTATTGGGCTCATAATTAAAATAACACTTAGGCATTCCTATGTTAATTACAATTTATTTGTGGTTTTTTTTTTTAATACAATGTTTTTTTTTGTTTTTGGTTTTTATGTTTTGCCTCGTATTCTTATGCTTTTTTTAGACTTTTTTTTTATTGTTACAGAATCTTAACTTTATAAACTACAATTTCCGTTTATTTTATTTTATTTTTTTTTATTGGATAACCACTACGCGTTCATGATGCCATGTCGCATATTATTGTGACAGGATCGCATTCTAACACATCCGAATGATCTCGGACTGATGTCGACTGCTAGTATGACATGTTCCATCTGTACGTTATATTTATTATTTACGTACACATTATATTTCCGAGGACCCATGTGCACTTTTTTTATAAGTTCGTATCGAGAGTATATTTCACAGATACAATAGCAAATTTTCTAAAACGCGTTGTTAATTTTTCCGACATCGGTTATCATATGAACGCGTGGATGCGGATTTAGGAGCAGTGCAAAGAACACACAAAATAACTATAAAATAAAAAATCATTCACGTGCGACAATCCGTATACGAGTGGGTGACAAATAATCACTTCTAAATTACGTTATTGTGCGCGCCGTGGCCGCAGTGAAATATAAAATGCGTTATAAATTTTTTAAGTTCATCCCGGTCGTAAATTGTAAAAAATCTCGCGTCCCTGTTACAATTATTTTAACAGTAATTCATACGCGTTTGCGTGCAAATTATAAACATAAATATAGATGCAATCAAACGTTACGGTTGATATACTGATGAACACCGAAAAACCGTTTAACCATATCCACGAATGAACGAAGCGCGCTCGGTTTGTTATGCTGTTTGTTTCATTGACAGTCAAAGTTGTTGTGCGCATATACAAATACACCCACACATACACACATTCACATGCGCGCGGATGTGAAGAATGAACGAATCAATTGATGATGCTAAAAGTTGCCGAACGAAATAATATTAGAACGTGTCGACGGAACGCCGTAACGTATAATTTATGATCGAACAAGTAATGATTTACGATAAATAATCAAATTACACGTGGACATTCGACAGCAGTAGTGATTCGGCAATATTTCAAGGTGAGCGCGCGCAATCCATCATCGCATTTGAGTCGATTTGAAAACGTAATCGTCCGCACGAGTACGAAAGACCGGAAAGAGAAAACGAATAATGCGAATTGGATCATGAAAAACCGTATACACCTATACGTCAGTGGCGTATACAGAAAATATTTTCGGGAGGGGTTACTATGGACAGAATTAAATTACCACTGCTATCTAAGAATTACTAACAAGACACAGTAGGTACTTATCTACATTTAATTTACAGAATGTCCTAAAACGATTTGACGTTGGACGCAAATTCTAAATGAACACAAAGCACCATTAAAATATAACATACGTATAAAATAATTTTTAAGTTTTTAAAATATTTCGGGGAAGGGGTCTGTAGCCCACTAGGCCCCCCTATATACACCACTGTGCTTCGTAAATTTAACTTGTTGGCTGCGTGTCTTCCAGTAATTCTGAGCGCTTAGCTATGGTTTCAACAGTGCACTCGTTACACGTGCGTCGGTGATGATTTTCGTCGAAAACGGAAAACAAAAACATAATTCGCGTTCGTGCACGTGGAAGAGGATGTTATTTTCTTCCCCTTCCCAAGGTCGGATTTTAAGCGTTACCTGCAAAGCGTTGACGACAGCGTACGATGACAGCACCGGCCATTCCCATGACAGCACTGTTAACGGCCCGCTAATTATGCACACCATGGTGTCGGCGACGCACAGATTCAACAGCAACAGGTTATTGGACACCTTGTGGCCCATGGACAGGGCGAGGAATACGCACAGATTCGCGGTCGTGCCCACGACCGCCACCAGCCCAACGTAGACAGCCATCAACGACGTGACTGCTGTGATCGAATAATCATCATCGTCTACAAGAAAACCGAGCACGTGTTTTTATTTTTCATTATTATTTCGATTATTTTGTTGAAAAAAATAGCTTTTATTTTTTAAGGATAACCCTAAAAATAACTCAAACATCCTTCTTAGAATCCTACGTATAAAACAAGAACGCGTACAATGATAATCAAATAGAAATTACTTCGTAACTATTTTTTACTTAAGAATATTAATGAATATTATATTTACTGAGTAGAAGGTATTTTTTCGTAGATGATTTAGTTTAATTAATGCTTTGACGTTTACTCGCTGTGGAATGTTTCACATTAATTAATAAACGATATAAAAAATAATATAAAATATATATAAATCGTTATCGTATCATTAAATATTATGTTGTGTATGCAAAGCCAGTAATGCAATGTCATGCAATGGTTAAATAACACATTTATCTATCTCTCAGAAACCTATACATAATACAAGCTTTTTATTTTTTTTACAACTATTGATGTTTTGGTTACGATTGTATCGTTCGAATAGTGATAAAGCTGAAACACGATTGAGCAATATCCCTTTTTATCAAAAATTAATGGGAGATTTCAATACTGTTTCAATTTGCTTTTTTCACACAAATACAAATTCAATTCCTATACGTTTGTCAATTGATTAAAGAAATCCATTTCGCGTACCCGAATAATGGACCTTTCCTACTTATAAATTTGATGTAAGAATCTTTATGTAAAATGTTATTTATTTTTATAACGACGTGAGCAAATACATTCACAAATTCAATTTACTATTCTCGTTGATTTAAAAATCTAAAATGTATATATTATATAGTAAGGATCTATTTTATTATTTTGGAAATAAATCAATCAAATTCTGAATAAATTTCATGGAAAATTGAATTTAAATTGTTTTTAGTCTACTATAAAACAAATGATTTATTGAGGTCTTAACTTTAACACGTTTTAAATTCTATATAACCACTATAAACCTATTATATAGTTGTATTTTAGACATATAAAAGAAATTGTTATCCAAAAATAAATACATTATTGCAAAGGAAATGAAATAAGAAATTCAACATTAAAATATTTATAGTATTTTTCGGAAGTTGGTTATTGATTAATGTATCATATAATGGTAATTTATTATTCGTGATAATTTATATGGATATGACAATGGAGTATTGATTTATAGTGAAACTGCATGAATGGTATTTTAAAAGTAGATTAATTGTTCCATTAAATGTATTCAAACATATTACTGAAAGGTGTATTTTTTTTTTTTTAATAAACATCAATATGTATATATATATATGTATGTATGTATATATATATGTATATAAATTAATTTTTTTCCTAATATTTTGGTAGGAGTATATATTATATATTTAATTCAGTGTTATATGCGTCTAATTTTACCAGGTGACTACATGCACCTGGTAAGTTTGACTAGTTGCATCATTATTAATTATTAATATTTACAACATTTTACCTCATTCCTAAAAAAACAGTATAGGTACATTTACAATCTCATGATAAAAAAATAAATAAAAATAAAAAAGCTTACAAATAATGTTTTTTTTTCATTACAGGAGTTACTGACTATTTATGATCTATTCTAATATCTATTCTGATTACTAGAATAATCAAGAATACCAATTTCATAAAATACTATTTATAAATTTCTAAAACCAAGAAAATGTTGTCGCATTAATTCATAGTTCAATAAATGTAAGTATAAAAATGAAATAACTTGATAATTTAGACAAGTGCGTTTGCAATACATGGATAAAAAGCTAAGAAAATAAACAGGTGAAAGTGACACATATAAATCAAACAATATTTAACCGTTTACGATTAATTTTGTTAAGTTATGGTCATCGGAGAATTTTAATTAAAATACTATAATTTTCAAAAACAATAAGAATTCTCACATAGCTTACACAACCTTTGACATATAATTACACAATAATGGTGTAAATACTACCTGTTAAGGTGTGCGAAACTCATTTTGAAAAGTAATAGTAACTTTAAACGACGCATTAAATTAAAATTTAACTCACCTTAACATAATAATACTCAAGGGACTCGTTAAGAAAAGTTAAATTATATAAACTTTATTGAGACTCTAATACAATGCATTATATTACACGGAAACCATAATAACAATATTCCATCCATCAGCTAACTAAAAGGCAAATAATTATGATTAAAAATACAATTGATATTATCTCATATTCTTATTACTATTAGACAATGAGTAATGTAGATTATTTTAGCAGACGAATGTCTGCGAGTTTTTAAATTACACCTGAGTAACTGAATTTTGTCCATTTACATTGATTAAGTAAATAAATAATAGAACGAGTGGTTCAACTACGTAAACATTACACTATACAAGAAACACAATTAGAAAACATAAAAATTGGAAAAAAGTTATAAACGATTTGGGTTTAGCACTGCAATGTGTACACCAATAATAACGACGAACAAAAATTTAAATAATAGTTATAAACTATTGTTAAATCGATTGCCGACAAAAAAATTAATATTAGATTTTAATTTCTGTTCACGGTGATTTTATAATTCGGTCACGTGGTCTATTGTAATACTATTCAGATGAGAATCGTCATAGCAGACATAGTATTGTTTTTATACACAATATTCCATGTATTTATATTTTTTTATCAAAACCCATATTGTGCGAATAAAAAGAACATATATTTAAGGTTATCTTTTATGTTTCACAAGGAAGGATTTTACGACGGACCTGGTGTATTCGATGTCAATATTAATTACTATCGAAACACGAATATGATACGAATGATATATTCAAGGTGACGGCTGTCATAGGCTATTAATACAATACAATGACTATTATACAGTATATATATATATATATATATACGTATTTTGAATCCAAATAGACGAGCAAATACGATAACTCCCACGGTTATTAACGATCATCCCATCAGATTTGAATTGAATAATTACAATTAATGAAATCGTAAGTGTTATAACATTGATCCATTATGCGTTGTTATAATATTAATATTATTCCCTCCTCGCTTCTAATTGTCCCGCCGAGAATGCGAGACGCCCGAGAAGTTCCACACAAACTACCGTACTCATGATTTGCACGAATAATTATTGGCCCACCGGATCAAGTTTTACGCTGCAATAACAATCATACGCAAATCTTTGTATGCTTACGATCGTATACACATTATACAATATTTTAATCGTTCCGATAGTACTATCGCCTCTGCGCCGCTTTGATTCGCAGTTAAGTGTGAAATATATCAGCATTAAAAAAGAAACAATATATAAAACGCGTAGGCGAACGCGTGTGTTTTAGCGAATAGACGTCTGTCATTGTACATATAATAAGATTGTAAATATATATACACTGTTATTTATCTGTTATTTATTGTTATTTTCGAATAAATCATATTTATCGGAAACTTTGACGGACTAACCGCGTATGGTTTAAAAACTTGAGCGTCAAATAACTACAAAATATATTATACCGCGATGAACGTCCCAAATATACGCTAGTCGGTAAACTTAAAATTACTATTTCACTGAGCATAACAGAAATAAGTCGTAATGGTGAAAAAACTAAAAATAAAATTCTTTTGTGTGCAATACTCTTAGAATAATAACAAAATATTACCAAGTATTTAAACGATTTATTAAAATGTATTAAACATTTCTAATAATGTCCATGAATAAATTTATAGAAAAAAAAAAATTATTTTCTGGATAATTATTGTACAATATGAGCAAACGTTTACGATCAGTTAACAATCAGTCGCCGATTGGAAATGTCTCCCAGCAAATAATCAAGAAATGTCTCCTTATACGTTATACAATAATTGACGACTTTATTGCGCTTCCCGGCACTGAATATCTGATCTAAATATTTGTTCCGATATCGTACATAGGAGGGATTATACATTGTATGACGGTATTATAGTAATGTAATTGTTACGATAGTTATATTTCCGACAGCTTTTGGACGTCGATACACTTACGATGTGGTTAATGTCTTTTCGCGTATTGACGATTCAGTTTCCGTTCGTTCAATTAAAATATATGCCTGATACATTGCGAATGAAATGAATCGATTGAGAATACAGTCGCTTGTTAAAATATGCGTTATGACGTTAAATCGGGTATGATTAGTATACACCTACGACGTGCTTTTGACGGATGTCGATCTATTATCAAAATGTATACATGTATATATGGTGTACAATAGTTCACAGTTATTTTAAATCGTAAACCGTGAAAGGATAGGCGCGGATATGGTGAAATTCAAAATGTTACCAACAAATGCTGTACGTAGTATTCGTACACCAAAATGTCTGTAATTATATACACGTGTAGCAGAATTTTTAGGCGTAATGACTGTATGCATATCCCATGCATGCACACACTTATCAATAATAAACATTGGACACTGCTCCTTATTGATATCGATTTCGTGAGATGAGCATCCATCGACTTGTATTCGATGACGAATGCTGGACAATGAATGTCTAATTATTATTGCGTTTTATTTATTATTTTAATTTATTTTTTGCAAAATTTGCAAAGTATCCAAATTTATTGGTTTCCTTTTAATTATTATTTTCAGTACGCTTTGTTAATTATAAAGACTCAAAGGAAAAAATTTAAGAATAATAATTTAACCGTGATTTATTATAACTTTTTCGCTTCGAACGATAAATATATAGCTATACAGGTTTAGTTTATTGACACATAAGCCCTGCGTTGTATAAAATAAATTGCAAAGAATCACGGTAAGAAGTAATTATTCGTTTTAAAATATTTTTACATTTTTCATTAAATTATTATTTTATTGATTTAGTCTCGATTGGGGTGCATTATATAATGTATATTAAAATGGAAGTATGATCAAATCCGATTAGACTTTAGAAAATAAAATAAAATAAAATACATGTATAGTATTCCAGTGGAGTATTATTTGACTGACTTATATTTACAAAAATTAATTA